TACGTGACCTTAGGGTTTATCTCCTCTAGAGCCAAGTACGAGATCTGTTTGATGGGACGAGTGTAAAAATCCCAGGGGGGTGGGAGAGAGGGTAGAGCCGCCCAGGAATTCGAACCTGGAACCTGCATGCTATGGATCAAGCCTGCAGGGGCTTACCGGGTAAGGATGGTCTTCCCCCATTAGACCCATCTCGGGCCCCTAGTGATGTACCATGATGAAGGAGTGATGCTACATAGATACTGTAATTAGATAATGTGTGATGTATTGGTACTGCATGTATAAAGTAATGTACAGTTCTGTAACTATTAATATATTGATGAGATTATAACTAGAGAACTATAAGAGCTACTGAAAAGATGTAAGAGAAGACTAGGGGTGAAATGATGTATAGAATCTGAATATGCAATAAAACTGAGAAGAATATATGTAGAACAATGTGAAAAATGAAGATACATGGAAAGGTATGGACATACCACAACGGAGGTGTTCTTGGTAGTCCGGTTTGGCTGAGTTCAGGGTTTGATCTGATTTGGTTTTGGATTGGTATTGTGATGCAATACCAATCTCTTGTGCCCCAATACTGCCTGCTGCCATCCAATACCCTGGGTATTGGATTGGGTGGGCGATCTGATCCCCCATTTTTTGATCCCCAGAATAAATCAAGCAATCCAATCCAATAAATCGGCTGATACCTTTTTGGATTGTATCTGTTACATTGTTGCTGGAAAACATCACTGTCATATACACATGTTGATTTACAGTGGATGTTGAAATCAGAGTGTTCAGCAGTGGACATTGGTCTTGAGGGATAGAAATAGAGTGTAGCAAGGCCAATCAAAATCTACAGGTGCACTCCACTACAAACAATACCAGTTTTGCCCCAGGAAAAAATTGCCATTTGGGTGGTGGAAAATAGATCAATCTTCCTGAGGCTTTTTTTACAAAATGACTCAAAAGTAAAAATTAGGCTAAAATGAGCTATTTTAGCCAAAAAAATAAAAATGCCTCAAACGAGCTAAAAATTAATTTTGGAATGTTTGAGGCATTTTTATTTTTGGGCTAAAATAGCTCATTTTAGCCTAATTTTTACTCCCTGAGTCATTTTTTCAAGAAGCCTCAGGGAAATTGATCTATTTTCCACCACTCAAATTGCCATTTTTTCCTGGGGTGAAACTTATATTGTTTGTAGTGCTCGGAGCAGCTCTAAGCCACCTGAAAAATGTTTGAAACACAGCCTTACAGGTGCCTCCAGGAGCAGCTCTCAACACACCTATTTGGTAGAAGAACTGCACTGACATAGGTGCCTTGGTCCTAGGGTTGATGGCACCACTTTTGGAAAAGTGCTCTCCGGAGGGCGCCTCCTAAGCTGTCAGCAATGTGTGCCTTTGGCAGGCAAACAGGGACACCATTTTTTTTGCAGTAAGAAAAATGCAACATTTATTTCCCATGTTTTTTTTACTGCAGCAAAGTGTGACTGTACTTGATTGGGTAGTCATATTATAAACAGTGAGAGGCATGCAGCACTTTGCACTATTTGAGGGCAAAACTGGGGTCTTGGGGGCCAACAAAATGAGTTCAACCAAACTTTCATGGGCAGTTGATTTTTTGGGTAACTATGGTGACACAAGATCTATGAGAGATGTCAAGATGTCAAGTACATAGTCGGGGGACATTGGTTCAAGATGTAATGATCATTCAT